GTACTAATCCCTAATTGTACTACCCGTTTAACAGACTGGACGATCAACCCTCTCAATTAAGGGTAAAATAAAGTTGATCCGAAGTTATAGAAGAAGTCTTACTGCTATATTAGAGACTATGGGTTGAATAGTCCCCCGAAATTCACATTACGCATGACAAACCTTTTTCTGTAAGAGAGGTCGCTCTGAAAGATAGGTAGAAATCAAGAACATATGCTACCGTTCGAATCCGGAGACCTTTTTCCAAACTGAGACTCTCCCATCCCCCGATATCGTAAACGATGAAGTAAGCTTGCAAGGAATAAAAGTTTCCTAATATTATAGGGCACACAAAATGGGGGGTGAAGTAACGATATACTCAATTAATTGATGTGAGAGAATCATGCTGTTGCTGCTCCAACAAGAATGGCACAAAATGTTTTATTAAAAGAAGTTATCGACCCTCTGCACTTTATAAATCCAGGAAAGATAAGTTAATCTTGATGAAACTGTAGCTGATTCACCGATGGTCTGGCCGAACACAGTCAAGAGGACACTTTGTCGCTAAATCTCAGGAAGTAAAATATAACATCCACAGGTCGCTCCCAAGTCCGCTCTTCAAAACAAACAGACGTTTTGGACTGAATTTACACGTTTACGACAGCAAGTGACGAGGTAGGGAAGAGAAACATCAAACTTTGATTGCTGACTAACAGATGATAAGCTCATAGTAGATGTTGTCCAAGTCCACATACCATTGAGAAGTAGTTATCATGGCGCGGCCATGTTTAATATGGTGTAGTGGAACCGTTTTGTTTAAATCTACCAAAAACACTTCGTGCGCGCAACGTTATCTTCCCGTTGTTGCCATTTTTTTAACTTGCTGCTCCCCATGTAATGCCTACTCTTTCCTTCAATTAAATATTGGCACATGGATCTATTTAGATTTAAATGACGGGATAATATGGAACATTTAGTGGTGATCATAGTCAATTTGGTATCTCTCATCAATAAAATGGTAACGAAAGAAATTCCATGGAAGTGCGCAAAAGCTCCCTCTTCTCGCTACATTTGGGCAAACTAAACGAATATCTTCTACGTCTTCTAGATCCTCCCGGTTTAGTCCTGGAAAAAATAAATTCCATTTCAACATTGGCCCGAAGAGAAGCCAGAGAATAGGAAGTTTCGTACCAGTAAATAGTATGCATGTGAGCAGTCGAGTTGCAACACTAGTAGTTTCGGAGGGTGCAATCTTAGGTTGAACCCCTCCTTCCTATATATTAATCAGTGACCCATTTGAGAAATTTAGCTCAAAGGCACTAATCCGTGCAGACGATACAATTATCTGGAGATCCATAAGAGTCTTAGAGAATTTACTCGAGCTCCGAATGGAGCTCACAAAAAAGAGGGATGCGCAATAAACAAACGGTTAAAGCTAAGTCGGTCGAAATCTCCTGTCATGGACATTCTGCTCCATATGATACAAACCACTTACGTCTTCGATAGAAGTTCACCAGTGAGTGTCTTCTTAGAGTGCGATCTGTAATCTAATAACCACAGGGATCCTGGATACTAGTTCCAACTACATATGGGTTTGCAGTCAAGGCGAACGTGACTCTTTTCTTTCTACGAAGATAACTCTTCTCAGTCACTACAGAACTGTACCTAACTCTCAATAAGACATATGCACGGCTTATTCTTGAAGTTTAAGATGTTGTCGCACCCCTTCTCTTTAGATCAATTGCAGAGATGAGAAACAAAAATGGGGATAATGTTAAATAGTACATCTTACAAAGCCAGATCCTAACACTTGGAGCTATTATAGCGGAATCATTGGAGAATAGGTGATATGGTGACGGGTGACAACATTGTAAGGACTTGAAGGCACTTTGATGTGAGCATTTCATCAGTACACCATCACCATGCACCTCGAAGTAACCGCCAAAACCTAGATTATCAAAGAGCATGAACCGGGAAATTCTCCTACTTTCTCTCATCAAGTGTTGTTTCCACATAAAATATTTTTGCAATCAAAGTGACCACCTCCCCCTCAATGGCTAGCTTCAAAAGAAGATATAGAAAACACGGAACCACATGAGGATTATCATCAACGGCTCGGACCAGCCGTGCCTCTTGCATGTTTCGAAACTTTTTTGATATCATCATCACTTCGTCATATCACTCTACCCAGCTTATTACTGCCTCTGTTTCGGCTTCCACTTTTATTCTTCAGTCCTATTTCACTGTCTACATTACCGAATAATGAACCTATAAGGTTTGTTTAGCTTTCAGGAGATTCGTCCCTTCTTTATCATTAGTATTTATTCCCTAGTGTTCTCCACAGCTTAACCGACTGAGCACCAGCCAAATATTTCGATAGTCATTTGTATTTACTACCCTGGGGCCAACGCACTCACTCAAATCACGTAGTATACAAATTCATGAACAAGTGTCAGCCGACTAGAATTGGTGAAGTCGGGTGGCTGTTCGAGGATGTTCATGTCAATAGACCAAGAAGAAGTAGTAACGATTGTACAGTCTTGCTTATCGTGGTCACAAATTAAACATTGAGGAAGGACGAAAAGGAGCCCTAGCTTTGCTATTCTAGGGAAAATTACACGTGCGCGAAAGAGAACTTTCTAAATCTTCCATGGCCACAAGAATGATGGAGACTAATATTGGATGATCACTGGTGGAAAGTGACCGACGTCATTCAGAATGCTGTCCAAAATAATGTACCTGAGGCATATCACACTAAGCAAAAGAGAAGACGTTGGGTTGAAAGAAGTACGAGACGCTCGCTACAGGCAAAACGAAGAGCCTGGTACAAGTGGGAGGTCTCTCTGAAGGATTCACACTGCAGTTCTTACTTGGCACTGAGAAGCGAAGTTCGAAATGATAGCAGGCGCTTTAAAATTAGGCTAGCTGAAAAAATATAGGCAAAAACAAATCATCTCTTTGGTTCATGACAAAAACAAAACCTACAGACCAGGGTGTATTTTCCCTCAAAAGTCACAACAGTGAAGATATTACCAAACTAGAAACGACTGAGATCTTCAGCACCAACTTTATTGTTCAAATAAAAAAAATTAGCCACACATTCATAATACTGCTGAAACATTGTGCCACTTGATGGAACAGAACTAGTACTGAGAAAATTAAAATGCTTGCGTCCCGGAAAGTCACCAGGATGTAACAATATTCTCCCTATAGTCTGGAAACAGTGTGCTGAAGCCCTCGGTTCACCGATATGTGACCTGTTCAGGCATTCACTGGAGTCACAAATACTCCCAGCTGAATGGAAGCAAGCTACCTTATCCCCAGTTTCAAAGGAGAAGATGGGAATAATCGAACCCGTTGCAGACCAGTTAGATCAGAACCAATACTATCGAAGGTAACAGAAGTGCTTGTGAACGAACAAAAGACTTCAATACGGTACCCTAAGCACTCCGAATTGCGTAGGTTGACCCACTCTTAACTTGACTCAGGAACTGCCTGGAGTACAAAAAGCTTCACACAAAGGTGAATAGAGTTCACGCTGATTAGCGGGTCTCAACATATGAGTTTCACAGGGGACAATCTTATGCCTATTCCTCCTCCAGTTGGACAAAATTAGCTCGGCGGCATTGATCTACGCAGACGATACTAAGATCCAGATGTGCACTAGAAGCAAAGAGAAGCTTCAATAGGACCTTAAATTTATTGAGAAATGGGCACTGAATCGCGATTTAAATATAAACAGGCCGAAACGTCACGTAATGTTCATTCTGCCCCACATGACAAAAACGACCCACACCCTCAGTGGAAGTTCGCTTCCTAATGTCTCCTCAAAGCGCGATCTGAGTTTATTACGACTGAAAGCCTCCACACCAGTCCGAACTAAATAGGAAATGCATCAAAAGCTAATGCAACTCCTCACTTTATGCGAAAAATACCTGGTCCTATCACTCAAGAATTATGCTACACGTTGTTTTAGACATATGCACACCCACACTTGAGGTTCAACACGCCGTTACTTCCTCTTCACTTAAAAGAGACGTGAGTCTCTTGGATCGAGTGCAGAGACGAGCTGCGAAAGGGGTGAAAGTGTTGAAAGATAAACCTAACGAATATACACTCCAGCACTTAGGATTAGACTGTCTTAGTAACAGTAGAATCAGAGGTGGTCTGATAATGAATAACAACACACTGAGCAGACCAAACCAACCCGACATGAGCATCTAACCGAACCATCAACACCAAACCAGCTCGTGAAAAAGATATTGGATATTGGAAGTCTTACAGTGTGCGGCTTATTTCAGTTCGAGTGTAACTACAATGAGGGAAATTATAGATCCGAAAGCATCTAGGATGCTAGTTTTGTTCAGTATTCTTATCATTGTACTACCACTTTCAACGCTATTTCTGTCGAAGTTTGTATTTTCAGGTAATCGCTGAACTCAACATTACGTTAAAAGATTTCTTTCATATGGATACTTCGTCTGCTTATATAGGAGCTGCAGTGGTGTCGGTCATCAGTGTCCATATGGTGCTACTCGGTTTTATTGTCGTTGCGTTTTCAGAGACAAAGTCTCCTACTGATGCTGTTGAACGGAAGCACGAGTGATTACATATCTTCACAAATCTATCTTTTCCTGCGAACCCTAGTTTTTCCTACTATAGTAGGCACTATATTAACATTCCTCAAGTATTCACTGCATTTTACTATGCAAAGCAAATAATGGTCGATTTCTTAAAATTTTGTATTTTAATTTGAGGCTTTTAAAATTGTAAATAATTGCTTCATGTAGTTTTGTTATTTATCTCTACTTATAATCTCCGATTTTTATAAGTGACTCAGTTGATAATAACTTTTATTATTTGTTCTTACAAATAAAACGTCTGTCCAAGAAAATATGGTGATGGTCACTTATGTGTGGGTGTTAACTATTAGCCAGCATCTTTGATTTATCCTCACCCTCACTACAAGAAGCGTAAATCTTGAAATCCTTATAAGTCCGACAGTCAATCTGTTACCACGTCTAACTTCGCACGTACCTACAACGTGAAATATCAAATGGCACTCAGGTTTTATCAAATTATTTTATCATAGCTTCTCACTTTCCAGACTGTCGGTCAGTAAAATCTGATAACGAGTTCTTTGTAATCAGCACTTGAAGCATCCTTGGTAAGCTTCATACCGCTCACTCTTGGGAAAGGCGATAGAAAAATGGTTAATACTTTAAATTATCGGCACCTAGTGGAATCAAGTCATTGAAATCAGATATCACCGGGATGTTCCTTGTCTTTAAGTATGTATTATGTCTACTAGTAATAACATTGTTATCTACACAGCCTACAAGTTTTCACCCCATGAGTTTCTGTTTAATTTATGATCATACATTTTTTATTCAGCCCCTGTACGTGCTCCTAATTTTTGTGTTGATCC